TGACAATTGGAGTTCAACTTGTGCTATCAAAACACATTAGTCTCATGATCCTAGAGTTAGATCAAATGCTTTGTTGAGAGGCACTACTTCCATCTTATTTTGATTTAAGATCTTCTCCATACTCCTTCTAAATTATGATGCTGTTTTCTGCTCTTTAGAGAGTGGGTTTGCTGAGGCTGTTTTAGAGTAGAGAAATCAAATAAATGGAGTTTTCCAAAACTGTCAATAAGGATGCACACAAGATCTTCGTTACTTAGCGTGAAACTGAGCTTTTCACAAAATGTTTAGTCTGTGAAGGGAATGGTAGCAAAGCAGCTCACAAATCAGTGTCTCTTCTGAGCTGCCACCTGTTGAAAGAGGGGAAGTTAGTCACTTTGAAACACTAAACAAATTATAGGAAAAGATATATCAATAATCTGAGCTTTTCTAAAGAAAAAGACAAACTCAGTTAGCATTTTTTTATAACCCGAGGGAGAACTGATGATTTGATTCACGTCCTAATCTAAATTCTACATTCATTGCTTCATGGTGAAAACAAGAATTTAAACCCAAAGCAATCTTATCATAGCACATGTTTCAACATGTGAGATCAAATCCATGCTGTCAAATTACATGTCTGTTCTTAGGTATTAAACATAGAAAAGTGTAAAATCCAGAACACTTGATCTAGTTATTTCCAAGGCATATTTCCAAAGCGGGTCTATGCAAAGGGGTGCAAATACATTTATAGGGTGAGCATTCATCTGACATGACTTCAGGCAGTCTATCTACCTGTATGTATCTGCAGTACTGCTTTAGATTCCCTTTATAGTTAGTGAAGGGGAATAGGTCCATACAGGGTGCATTTACTCTCTCCCTAAAGCAGGGTCTCTAAAATAGGCTAGATTAATTACTCAGATAGAGTGCTTATTTCTCTGCTTTGTGGTTTCCTTCTTGTGGTCAGGTGAATCATTCCTGAAATTTTCTGCATTGGGCAACTTACTGACCCAATACGAGGCACCTGCAATCTCTGCAGGTGAAGCAGTGTAACCACGTTAGCATACTGGAGGGTACAAACTAAAAGAAACTATTTTCCAGAAGGTGTTCTGAATTTGGTGAGAGCACAGTGTCAGTCATGGCTTACAGTTTCTCGACCACGTCAGGCTGAAGCAAGTCAGATGGCCTTCAGACAGCTTGTTTCTCTTTGTGACACGTTTTTTGTGTATCAGCTTCTACAAGTGTCCTTTTTGGTTTAATCAACTACCCAATCTACTACTTAGTCCTCAGATTCTGTTGAATTAGATTTTTAAAAAAAAAGTCTTTTAGGCAGCTTCCTCCAGCTAGTCAGCTACTGGATTGAACCTGCAAATTTCAACCTCCTACCTTAGAGAATGTCCTCACATACATGTCAGAAAGGCAGTGCCTCCAGTGTTTCTTTCTCAGTGTAGTTTAACAGCTGCCCTTTGAGTTTTCTTGAAATGCTGTGTGGGATGGAAGCTCACGTTCACATTCGTGAGGGTACCACATGGCACAGCCCTTGTCCTGGTGCCTGGATGCATGATACAGAAGTCCTGGCTAATATTCACTGGTGGGAGACTTCTCTGCCTTACTCCTCTCTTCCTCACTAGCATCTCATGTTGCCAGTGTGCTGGTAGCTCCTGTTGGCAAAGGGAGGTCACACTGATGTGTCACCCATTGTAGAATTGGCACTTGTTGGGGAATGGGGTGCCCGTGCTTTGCTAGTGCCCATGAAATTGCTGTAAATAGTAGACAGGCTCTGAGGTAAAAGCAGAAACAGTTTACCCAACTAAAGTGAAGAGCGTAAGAAATCAATTGCTATACTTAAAGACAGATACAGAAAAGTGGAACGGTTACAGTCCTTGTTGTTACTGCTCATTCAGGTCTGGCTTCAGCATGGTTTCTTTTTCTCTGTTTTCTTTTCAGCTAGCAGGCTCAAGCCTGACTAACTCTCAGGGTGACTGATGGTTCCCTGGAGATGGGATCTGGTCCTTCAGCTACGCTTTGTCTTTTAGTTGTTTCCCAAAATAGATTCTGATTTGGGATGAAGTAACTCCTTCTGTCCTCCCTCTTTCTGCTTAGCATAAATTCACCCTCCCGGCCTTCAGCATTTCTGGATAAATCTAACTGATTAAAAAGGCATCAGATTTTGTCTCTAGTGCCATCATCAAGAAGAAAGACCTTGGACTGTGTCTTTCAGCTGAGTGGATGTGGCGAGGCTTCACGCTTATTTGACTTAACCTATTTACACACTGCAATCCCCAATGCGCAGATAACAGAGGAAGAGTTACATTGGGCTTAAATGCATAACCTGCGTCCAGCACAGAACTTCAAAAGTACTTGCTGTATAAATGAGTGATGAATGTGAATCATTGATAAAACCTGGTAAGATGGAAAATAAATTGAGGGATGATTTGTGTCTAAAGTAAATGGGCCATAGCGTGGTTTGTTGGAACCAGGGAGGCACAATGATGGCATTTTCCTACATGGATGCATGATTGTACAATGGATATTAGAGGTGTCAGCAATTCAGTCTGAGGCACTGGAATATTGGAATAATGATAAACTACCTGAAATCCAGATACATGTCAGTGACAAAGTGTATGTACGTGAACCATGTTGGACAGAGTCAGTGGAGAACCTTCTTGCCTCAAGGCAATGTCATAGAAATCATTGCAGTGACAGCAAGAGATGGGAACGACCACCTGAGACTTCTGCTGTAGATGGTAGGGCACACCTACCCATGTCAGCACCAGGTGTTCCCATGATGGTAGGGCACACCTACCCGTGTAGGTGCCAGGGGTTCCCATGGCACACCTTCAGGAGAAGCGGTCCTGGGGAGCCTTGGGCTGCCCAGTTCCTACTGCTAGTTACAAGAGTCGAGTTTTCCAAACCTCTTTGTTTTAGACCAGTGATTTTATTTTAAGATACGCAACGGATCAACACATCTAGCTGTCAAAGTTCAAATTGATTAATTTAAGGGAATTTAGTATGGTAAGCAATCTTAGAAAGATTGGTTGCTTTTAAGGCATTTTTAGACTTTGCCTGTGAAGCTGTTGTGCACTATTGCTGTCTGCAAGAGTTGCTTGTTGCTCCAGAAGGGTTACGTTCGTACTTGTTACTGGTTTTACTTACCAGTTAAAAGCTTTTTCACCAGCAGAAGAGACACAGTCTAATGATTTCATAATGTCTCAGAAAAAGAAATTCTGAAACCTTTACAATAGACTCTGAGGAACTGAAATTTAAGTGACTAGGATGTAAAATTTTACTGTCTTAGTAGTGTCTTTTATGTTTAATAGTTGTAAATGTGGAAAACCCCAATTGAATAGTCTTCACAGTGCTTAAAAAGGTGTGGGGAAAAAAAGGTTACTGGGGTCTGGGCGAGTGGTCAGCTGGGTGGAGAGGGTGTTTCTCTGCACAGCTGTTTTGTTATTAATCTGTGAAGCTGTAAGTGTGAGAAGCAGAATTCTTAAAGCCAGTCGGGTCTGTCAAATAGAAATATCAGGAAGGAAACAGAGATGTACGTGGCTCACATGGCTGTTCTTATCAGGAAGATGCTGAGATTATATATTTGGCAGCTAGTCTAAAGATGCATTCTGATGTCAAATAATTGAAGATACGTTGGAAAAGATTTTTCCCTCTGCAAAGGCCTCAGAAACCTATTTATCCTGAAATAATCCCTAAATTTGAAGAAAGAGAAATGAACTGATATTGTCACCGTAGTGCTGTGAATAAGTTTGAATCCCTGTATGCTTGCAAGAACTTGTCTAAAACTTCATTATTGGCAGTGCTGGCAAATATTAGATAGCTTTGCTTGCATGCTGTCTGTGTTTATGCTGAGTGGAAGCTATGGGAAGTACAGCAATAGTCTTTCACTAGTAAAGATTCACTATTTCCCATAACTTAAAAATTTTCATGTTATGTTTGTTTGTTTTGTTCTTAAACCATTGTCACTGTATATTCAGTTTTAGTTTAGGAGCTTTCTAGAACCTACAACTGTTTTTAAAGACACACTTCATAAAAATCTCTTGATGACTTGTTCAATGAGTGGAATATATTTTTACTGAGAGACTTTGGGAGCTAGGCATCTTCAGGAGTTTCCTAGAGGATAATTTTGTATCCTGAAATATAGATAACTAGTCAGATAATTATGTCTCAGTAAAGCCTTCTATTAATAGCTATTCTTGTTGTAATATTTAGACATACTTCTTCTAGAATTCACATAGCCTTTTGCCAATTCTTTGTATTTCTGCAGTTTTCAGTGCACAAGAAAATTTCTGTTTGTTTCCCAATTGCAATTTATTTTATTTTAAATTATAAGCATATGCTCTGGTATCCTTATGGGACTGTTCTGTAGTTAATTGCTATTTATGTATCACCCTGCAACTTTGATTTCTGTGGTAATGAAAAAAATGCATGTTTTGTGGAGTTTAAATATGAAGAAATATTTTTTTCATTTTTGCTGAAAGATTCATGGATGAACTCTTTTTAATGACAGGACTAGCAGGTTTGGTCCTTGCAGTTCTATTTTCCTGTTCATTTACAAGCCACTAATATGCACAAAGCTGTAAGCCATCTATTTGAAGAAACGGAGTTTTTAAGGAGAGGCTTGAATGGTTATCAGAAGTAAGGACTGAGGGTATTCAGAAAAACATACCCTTTTCAGTTCTGCTGCTGCAAGTTTATACTGCATGCTCAGGTGGGTGACTTCACCTGAGTCTTAGCTTACAAAGTTGAAGTTATGCTGGGACTAGGTATCTCCAAGAGATCTGGGTCTGAGTGCTGTGGCCTGGGAGCTCAGACAGCAGTCTTTCACAGTTCCTGTTCCTGTTGTTCAGTTTGTATTATCTGGAGATGGAAATCATATGAATCAAGAGTTAAATGGAAGAACATTGATACGGAAGACCTATGGCTTTCTGCTGTGGTCTAAGTTTAGTTAATGATCATTTTGTGGTGATGCACTGTTTAAAGAGTTGGTGTAACAATTTCTGCACTCACCGCAGCTGTCTACTCAAGGAGATGCCAGCCAGGTGATTGGACCACTCACAGAGGGACAGAGGAGGAACGTGGCTGTAGTTAATTCGCTATACAAACTGCACCAAGCGGTTCTGAAGGTAGGCTTCCTTTGGTATTTCTCTTCTTGCCATAATGTTAACTTCTTTGGTGTATGGTATGCATATTCTCTCATTAGCTGGTGAGAAGTCTGACAAATACAGCCCAATTTTGGGTTAAGAGCTGCACCTTGCTATGCATTTGTACAACTCTTTGAGACTTTGTTGCCCCTTGTAAGCACCATTATGTGACAAATTGTCAGTATTAGAAGAGGAGTGAAAGATGTGTTTACGGAGAATAATCACATCTCAGCCATTGCTTTTTGAGCCTAAACAATTAAACTCTTTCTGTTTTTTCTTATCAAGTAAGCCCTGTCTTTGTACTGGTCAGCCTGATAGCCTTTGTCTGTGCCTGTCCCAGCCCAAGCTTGTCTTTCTCAGAAGACCCTCACTGCTTTCCCAGGATTGTGGCCAAACTGAAAAGGGGAAGGAAACTGTGAAATCAAGAAAAGCAGCGCCTCAGAAATATCTCTGTGCATTGTTGCCGTGACCTAAGTCTGGCCTGGAAATGTTTTCAGGGCTAAGCACAGTTATGAATAATTCCAGTTTACTGGCTTAGTGATGCCAATGGTTACACAGTCTCTGTAAATTAAAACAAACAGGTACAGTGGTAGTTGTAGTTAATTGTGTTTAAATCCTAGCTGATTAGAAAAAAGATCATGAGTACTCCTGACTGTGGATTTGTTTAAAGAATGTTAAAAAATGCTAAAAAGCCTATAAAATTTGCTTGGATTTTGCAAACAGATGGTAGAGCAACTTTTAAGTCTGCTTTCTCTGATGTATTTAGTAATGAACCTCATGTGCCTTAGTGTTGGAGGGAGATCTGATATGATTCAGTCTTTGAGTTCAGTACTTATCTGGCTTAAAAATACTATTGTATAGCATGTTCATAACTGTAAGGAAATTGGTAGAATATTCCTTCAGATCATTCCTTGACTTTCAATTCTAATATCATTGTAGCTGTACACAAACAGCTGTTTAACATGTAGTATTATAATAGTCATAATACTGAGAAAGAACAACCATTCTTTCAAATATTTGCCATAAAGCTGCTTGTATAGTTCTCCATAAATTCTATACTTAGAGTGGGAGAATACACCACTTATTGTTATTCTGATTCTGTTAACACTTCAGCTAAATTTCAGTTGAACTCAATTGAATCATTTCTTTGCCAAGGCAGAAGCAGAGACCATAGGAAATTTGAGACCAAAGGACTGATACTGGTGCACCGAAAATTCTGTCTGTATAAAACACATTTGGTAGTTATCTGTACCTATGTAAACCACTCATTACTAAGGATAACTCAGTATGTTTTTAAATTAAATTAAATATTATGGATTCTAATAATTTGTTGAATGTTGACTATTAACAATTACTTTAAATTTTTTAGGTCATTACCAATCAGAGCTCATTTCCAGCAGCCGCTGAGCAGACAGTCACAACTGCCTTAAAGGTAATTGAATGTCCATGTGGTGCAGGGATAGGGCTGAGCTTTGCTTTGTTTGGGCACTTGTTTTCCCAGGTATTGTTTTGTGTCAGTGTATGTTAGTCAGAGGTATACAAATATTCTGAAATTTGTATTTTCTTGTATCTGCGGCTAGATATATGTTGTGTGTGCCAAATCACTGCTTGAGTAGCATTTGTATTCAAGAATATTCTCATAAGGGTCGGAACCCAGATGTCATCTGACTGTGAAAATAAATGTCTTTCTCTGCAGCATTCACACAGCATAACTGGATCCTTCGTCACCCCCTTACCCCCCCGACACACACATAAAATTATGATTTTTATGCTACCTGGTGCTTTTCTGGGGGGCCATGTGGATGGCTGTGCAGCCCTCTGTGGATGACAGCTCTGCACATCTGTCCTGCTGTGCCCTGATCTGGGAGGGGTTGTGTGCAGAGGAATGAAAGGCAGCTTGCGTGTCTGGGGAATGAACAGCTGAACAAAGTGCATGCACCGAAACATGTACGTTTACAAACCAGGAATGCCAGGTTGTTGTGCACCTTTTTGAAGGAAGGCTTTACATAAAAGTAGTACGCAGCCTTATTTCTGTACTTTACTGGTAAAATCAGTTAAAGAGAAATGTTATCTTAGGCTTTTGTCCTTCTATTTAGCAGTTTCTAATGCAGAATAATAAAAAGCACTGTGGAAATGAAGTGTTTGTCAAGGTATTTTTGAAGTGTCAAAATGCAAATGCTTCTAGTTTCTGTTTCCTTACCTCTGCCTTTTTCTTATTCTATTTTAGGCAGTCCATGATCTAATGGGTAGTGCTGTTCAACCATTACTGAACTCTGTAGGAGACTCAGTAGAAGCTATTATCATCACTATGCACCAGGAAGATTTTTCTGGGTAACTAGAAATATTTTTTAAATTTACCATTGCTTTAGTAAGACGTCCTGCATATGCATAATAGATTGTTGTTGCCACAATGTCCTTGGAGCAAGAGCACTTGTTTGTTGAGGGGAAGGTGATGCTTTATGGTCAATGAACACAGAAAGCAGAATTAGACCTATCTATTGAAACAAATTAATCAGGTAGCATCTGTCTTCTGTCTTCTTCACCCCCCTTTTTTTTTTTGCATATCTGTTGAGTAAAATTCATTTTAAATAGAAAAATAAAGCCAAGCAGAGGCCATTTTTGTGCTTAAAAAGACCCTTTTGCTTTCAAAACTTATTTTTTGTAGACAGTCTTCAGAACTGTCAGTATTCTGGTTTCTCAAAATAAAGCATATAACCTCTAATTCAAAATTACATAGAAATTTTTCTAAAGTGTTATTGAATATGAAATGGTTCAAAAAATCTTTTTTGAACTCAGATTTAGTGTATTATGCTGTTTTCCCATAGCATTTTAATTAAAATTTTTAGTATTTTTTATCTGCAAAGATCTTGAATCCTATCTATAATTGAGACTTCCTTCCTGAGCGTTATTTTGATTGTTACTCTGTTCTGACATTGCTTATATCATCATCAGATGTCCTGTTTTCTGTCTTGGAAATTCACTGAAAATAGTATCTTTTCAGAGGTGTTTTAAATTTTCCCTTTGACTTTTTTTTTTTTAAATGATATTTTACCTGCTCCATCTTTCTTTTGCCACCACTAGCAAAATACCTCTCTAGGTGGATAAACTGATTCCAGCCAAAGGCTAAGTTTTGTTAGATAGCCTGTATGCTGAGGTTCCTGAGTTTGGAAGAGCTCTTTTGCCTGACTTTGATTCAAAGAAAGCGAAAGGTGATTGATTTCTGTGTCCTGTAGCTTCTGTGATTTGACTTTGGATTGACTTTCTAATCCTGGTTTTGGAGGAATCTAGGAAACTAATTCTATACAGCGAACAGGTTTGGGATAGGCTAAACTCATAACCCTGTGACATGTGCTTGTGTTTTCTGATCTATTATTAGAGTTTCAAATCAACAACTGGGACATTAAAATTTAGGGGCTGGATTTGAGGTTTAGGCTCCAAACTGGTGGAGGCTCTGCAAGCTGGGTAGGAGTGGGGTGATTTCCTTTATCTTGTTAGAATGGGAATGGGTGATAAAGAGATATTTTTTTACTATAGTTTCAGAGAGAGCTATATGCTCTTTATTCTGAGTATAAATGAGATTCTACAATAAAAAATTAAAAATAATCCAATAGGTTTTGGTTGTGTTTTAAAGATGAATTTAGCTGTCCCCATTTCTCTTTTCTTTTTTTTTTCAGATCATTATCTAGCTCAGGAAAACCAGATGTCCCTTGTTCTCTGTACATGAAAGAACTTCAGGGTTTTATAGCAAGAGTCATGAGCGACTACTTCAGACATTTTGAGTGTTTTGACTTTGTCTTTGATAACACTGAAGCCATGGCTCAAAGAGCAATTGAACTTTTCATTCGCCATGCCAGTCTAATAAGGCCCCTTGGTGAAGGTGGGAAGATGCGGCTTGCAGCGGATTTTGCACAGGTGCCCTTAATACTGATTTCTGCTTTTTACTGTTACTTCACTGTGTTCACTGAAAAGTATCAATACTTTTGTCCCCATCAAAGCATAAACAGGCCGTTGTAGAGATTGGTGCATTCCAGTTCTAAACATCCTCTCTGATGAGATATTGTATCCTGAGAAATGCACCCACTAAGTAGTTGAAGATCCCTCATCACCGTAAGGCACATTCAGGGAGGTCTGACAGCTTCCTATCAAGTGATTATTGCATTTAAATTCAGCTGCGTCTTGACATTTTATCCTGCTTGTCTGACCTCTTTGGTACGTCCATCATTTGCCACCATTCATTCACTTCATTCTTTCTCTCTCTTCTAATGGAATGGTGTGTCGCTTTCTTAATTGCTTTATATATCACAGTGCCCACAGTGGTTAATCACTAACTCAGCTGCCTTGCAGTGTAGGAGACGAGCTAAAGAAATAGCAATATCCAGTGGAAGAACTACCCTTTCGGTAACAGAGGGGCAGTTTTCTTGTGGGATTCTCTTCACGACCTGATTGCCTTATCTGCCTCTCAGCTTTACCTAGCTCTTATACTGGACTGAAACACAAAACAAATTGCCTGATTAATATCTGCTACGTATCTGCATTATCTACTATATTCAAATTTAATTTGTCAATAGTAACACCGTGTGATTAACTTGCCAAAGAATACAGGCATCCCCTAGATTGGTCTGAGGGTCCCGGTTATTATTATCCAAGTGGAAAAGGCAATTAGCACCAGCTGTCTGCATACTGCGTGCTGCTTTTGGCTGGTAGGTAGCTGAGGTAGGAGAGGAAGGCAAGGAGGCAGGAATCACTGCCATCTCCGCTCCTGCTTGTGGCTGCTTTGTATCATTTGCCTGTGAATTACATACTCCTGAGGAAAGTTTTTTTTATTCATTACTCAAAAGTAGCACATCAGCCTTTAACTGCAGAAGTTAAGGGGAAGTTTTCAATTGCTTTCAGTGAGAAGGTTCCATTCCCTTCTCTATTTTGAAGGCAATGGCATAAAATTGGAGAAAAAAAAGGACGCTCGACTCCTCCTCTGGAAGGAATATAGATAATTTTTGTAATTTATGCTGCAGTACTAAAGTAAGTTGTATAAATTTGGGAAATATCTTCACCTAATTCTACAGTAAAGAGCATCTGATCTAAGCACCTATTATAACGATACTAAAAATATAACTCATTTATCTTTTTTAACACTTATTTTTCTCATTCTGACATGGGCTGCCTTTTAAGTGAAAAATGAAGGTATGTTTTCATCTGAGTGTAGGGGGATTTGCATCTTCTTCCCCTCTGTGCTGAGTATAACTCCTGAACGGACAACTGTGTGAAGATAAATGTTCCAATTTCTCTTCTTTTGTACTGTGGAAGAAAAAAAATAGGTTTTGAATTCATTCCTGTCTCCTGCCTTCAACTGTTGCTGCATCTGGGGGCTGTCTTGTGCTTTTCTCATCTTCACATTGCACCATATTTTTGGCTTGTTTAAAAATGGGCTTAAGACAAGAACTTTCCAGTCCAACCAGCCCCGTACAGCCACCTCAACGCTCACTCTGTGCCTTTGAGGACCTCTGCACAGAGCTCCTTAGGGTGTCCCAGGCTGCACAGGGGCTGTAGTCTCCAGAATGGCCTGGACACTATATCCTGTTGCTCAGGATAACAGAAAAAGGACCAAAACATTTCATATGTGGAGGCTGCCTTATATCCATGTTTTCTGGTGTGTGTGTGCCCCTCCTGAAAACCTGGTGGGCTTTGGGCATGTGCCCGTGACAGCAGCTCCTGGTAGCCCCGCTAGGGAGGTTGTAGCTGCTCTGACCTGGCCAGGAGTCCTGGGCACGTTCGCCAAAATGTGGCTGTAATCCTGAACAGGACTCGTTTCACTTCCATGCTTCTGTTCTGTGGTACGTGGCTTTGTCGAGGAAAAGCCGTGATTCCTCCAAAGAGGAGGGCAGGTTGCTGCTGCTTTGGGCTGAGGAGAGCAGGTATTTAGCTGGGCTGCTGGCTTGATGGGAAGGATATACTTTTCCAAATGGCCATAAATGCTGTGTGCAGGGTTTTTTTCAGTCCCAGAAAGGCACCGCATTGTTGAACTAAAGCCAAACCCGAAGGAAAGGACGTGCTTGGAAAGACACTGTGTGTGTAGGAGGAGGTTTGTTTATAAACTGTTTTCACTTGTGCTCTGTCTTGTAGAGTCATTCTGAATTTTCTGTACACAAAAAGGGTTACATGTTCCTGCTTAAAACTGGCTTTTCAGATCTAAAACCCCTTTTGGTGTTTTAGGCTTACTTGCAGGCAAAAGACCTGGGCAGAAATCTGTTCAGAAGTTTTGGTTAATTTGAGGTCCTCTTATAAACACACATGCATTAAGTCAAATAATCTTGTCTTGCATCAGATTTTGGCTATCTCATGTGCTCGTGCACATTTCTTTCAGGGCACTCAGAGTTAGAGTTACAGCTGCCTTATACTCAGCAGAATAGCTTTGGCTGAGAGTCAGATTTGAAAATTTTTGCACTGGGAACGTGGTTTACTGATAAGTTGCTTCAAAACAACAGGTGTCTACACAGAAGGGGGAAAACTGAGGCTTCAAGTTCTCTTCATTCAGAACTGGGTTCAGTGAGGTGCACAACAGCCAATTTTCTTGAGTAAGGCTCAGCTACTTATACCTTTAGGAATTATTGCTGTAATTCTGTTGAATTCTGTCTTACCCTGTTTCCAGTGTCAGTATTGCATTTTGCTATCTTGTGCGTTACAGATATTTCAGCAGTAAGACTAGGTGTGTGCTAGTGTGGCAGCTGTAAACAGAGGTATGATAGACTTGAAATATGCCTGAATATCATTAATATGATTTCATGAAGATCTGTGCTTACAGAAACATTTTAAGCCCTAGAAAATGTCTGCGGTGCTGCAAGGTTATTATCACATACTGTGCTGTTCCTTGGGACTCTTGTTGTTTGAAATTTTTCCAGTCTACAGACTGAATTCACTACTTTTCATGCTCTCAGTTTTTATGCAGGCAATTGTACAAGATTACTTTTCAGTTCACTCCTGTGAATTACTGGATCAGTTTGCTTTCATTTGGTTTTGTATTTTTAAGGTGACGATAATTCAGTATTCACATATGTGATATCAAATTTCACTTTTTAATTCAGTACTAGTCAGACTGAAAAAATGTTCTCCTGGAGGCAAGCCAGCCAGCAAGCCCTGATGGTTTTTCAACGTTTATGTTTCTGGGGAGTACCAGTTCTTCTCCAGAGGACCTTTTAACTTGCTTGGTATTCAGAGTTGTGACAGCACTTACACTTAGGCACACTTTGGGGTTGGTGGCTTGTAGTTCAGGCCTTCCTTTAGGCCTTCCTGATGGAAGCGCTGGACAATGCAGCAAAGAATGAAATGTAAGCATGATTAGTTGAGAAATCTATTTAGAAGAAATAAGGAATTTACAGTAATATTTGGCATGGAAATTACTAGTCTGCTACATAAAGTTTGTAAGCTGATATAGGAAAATAGCTGTTTATTAATAGCAAATACAAATCACAACTGCATTAAAATAAACTAGTCTAGAAATTGCAAAGACTAAGTAATCTTTATGCTTCATGGCATGAAGGCATGAGATGATTTCCCGTCTTTTCATAGTACAGATGTATGTTTGGAGTGACATATATAAGGCAGGAGCCACTGTCTGTGCCAAGAACCCCATCTCATGTCATGACTTATTATTTTCAGCCTTGTCGAGTGGACTATTTTTGTTGATACTGTTTGAGTTAATACTATTCTATATATACCTTCATATATTTCTTATCTAGGTGGGATTTATAGTTGGGTTTTTTGGCATTGTTCAGTACTGTGTCCAAACAGTTTTGATGGGGCATAGTTAACACTGCCACCAACTCTTCAAGTCTTTATCAATAAGTTTTGATTTTATTGGATTTTCCTAGAAAAATGTTTTTACTGTAGAAGTTGACAATGATAAATTCTAGTGCAGAAGAAATGTTTCTGTCTGCTGGTTAGCCTATGGTCAGAATCTGGTTTCCTGATTCAATATGTGGTATTGAAAAAGCAAGAATATTAGGCATTTGGGGTTTTAAAAATGTGAACAGATTTGCTTGTTTGATCAAACATGATGATACAAGTGTAAAAATGCTTTTTATCATTTTTCCTAAAAAATTTCCTTTTTAGTTCCTTGGGGAGAAGTGAGAGAAGCAGGATGCTGTGATCACAGTTGTAGTCATAAGGACAGAAACTACTAAAGCTAAAATGCACTTAATGTGTAATGCTAACTGTCTTACTGGAAGGAGGAAATTATTTTCTGATGCGTGTTATTTTGGAGGTATTACAGCTGAAGGATTTACTTAAACCTCAACAGTTTTGGAATTGCTGCATGGGGGAGAAATCAAATTCCATATCCCTTCAAGGCCAGCTTCTTTCATGTAATAGTTCAGAGCTCTTCTGCTCCCTTGCTTGTTAAAGCATTCCCTCCCAGTGAATGGATAGAAAAAAGCATTTTGAGTTAACATTTAAAAACTTGGAATTCATCTTGGCCAGGAGGAAATGTAATTGCTAAAAATTTAATGTTAAGATTTTCCAGCTGAAAAAACAGCTGTTTAAGTAATGAGAGATCTTGAAAATACCACAACAGGCACTAAACAATAGCTTTACTATGGGGTTTTTCGAAGTGCTCTTCAATAGACATGCATTATCTGTATCTAGACTACATATTAACTTCACCCTTGGGTTGCTGAACATAATCCAATTACAGAAGCCAGCCATGTGATGTATATTTTACAATATGGATAGCCAGTGAATAGTTCAACAGATAATTGACCACCTAGCCATGGGCTATGGCAGGGTCATATGAGAAGAAAAGATAATATAGCCTTTTTGGGCTTAGAGAGCAAGAATCACTGAGAAGAAGCGTATGTTGGGCAGGAGTCTGCCACTGTGTTCTGCGAAGCATAGCAAAATAACATGAATAAATCATGGAAAAGCAATAGGTTTTGAACAAAGTTAGAAGAAACGAGGCAGAGTCATTAGGCCGCCTTCTGTTCGAGCTGCCCCTTCCTTTTCGGCAGGCGCTTCCACTTCCTACTGCTTCTCTTGGATCCTGTGTTAATGATTAGCTCGCATTAGTCGATCAGGCCTTTGTGGTTGCAAATTACTGCTTGGACACCTGATTTATCACTGAATTTAACCTGGATATTTGAATTTTCAAATTGGCAGTTCTGGGAGAGAAATTTGGAAAAGAAACAAAAAATACTGCTTACCCTGTCATATGTAAAGTCCATAGGACATGGCTGTATGAAAGGCCTTGCACACACGATACAAATACTGGCTTGCAGACAGCCAAAAACATCACCCAACTTGTAAAAGCTCACCAAAATGCTTTGGAAACTATAGCTGTATATCATAGCAAAAGCTGCTACAGTATAAACACACTGCATGAATCAACAGTTGATGCAGCTTCAGGTGATGACAGGTAGCAAAACCAAGAAGTGATGTACGCTCAATCCTCTGCCCAAGTCCAGCACCTTAAAAACAGCAGCTGTTCCAGCCAAATGATTCCTCCCCGGCACTCGCTCCCGGGCCAGCAGCGCCGGCTGGCACAATGCTCAGCGGAGACACAAAACCCCGCTCAGTGGGCCTGCAGAAATGAATGTAACAGCAGAAGGATGCTGTAGCGTCTCACTACATCATTGGGCTCAGACAAGTAGCTAAAATTCAAGTGAAGAAAGCAATCTTAGTTATTATGCGAAGTATAGTTTTTATTGGAGAGATTGAGTTATAATACATAGCAGACTAGTGTTGTAAATTAAAAAAAAAAGTTTCTGTGGCTTATGTACATTTTTACCACATTAGTTTTCACTCATTCCCACTCTTCATGAGTCAATTTGAGATGGTATAGTATGCTGCAAAGCTTAAAAACAATTTTTTTCTTTGGCAACTAGTACTTCACGAATCAACCATCTGCTGCCATTAAATCTATCTGGTTCTAGCAATACTAATAATTTCCTACAGTGAATAAAGGTTGAAGATGAAGTAATAGAATTTTCCAAAGTAAATTTTATTCTTTAGTACTTAAGACTAAAAATGTTGGTTTATGGAAACTGCCAAGTATGTTCAAGAGAAATCATTTACATTTGTTTTAATAAGGAATTGGTTAAGCTGTAGAAAGTTTCACTTACATCTCATTACATCACATTATGTTTCAGGAGTGAAACAATAATTTAAAATTTATTAAGCAAAATTATATTTTGCTATGCTGGGATTTCTTTCCCCTCATGAGTACAGTTTGATGTGTGCATCTCTGTTTCCACAAGTCAGACTGGCAGTTTGTTGCCTGTTATCAAATTCTCTAAAGCACCTAAAAGAATTATCTTCTCTCTGGTTCTTCACAGCTACAAGCCCACGGCTCCCACCAGAGCTGGGACACCAGCTCCTGCAGGATATCAGTTACTTCCAGCTGCCCCTAGCCAATACTGATGCCTGAAAAGAAGCTCTGGAGAAATCAGAGTCTTGCTCCTATTTGTTTTAGGAGGGTCTGTAGGGTTCTTGTATCATGGTGCAGCAAAGCCTACTTAATTAGCTCTTCTTTTTAGCTACTTGCTCCTGATCCTGTGCAGCAGACTGGCCTCTTGGCTCCCATATGTGCTCAGAAGTGTCCCGGGGGATCTGCAGGAACAACATTCTGAACTTGCTCTAAGCTTCATCACAGTTTGGAGTTGGAGCAGCTCCCTGCAGAAATCCCCAGGGAGAACCTGCCTGTCCTGGGAGCGTGTACTCAACCTCGCTCCCTTGTGCCAGCACATTCAGCACATGGCACCGCAGCTGATGGCTCCTCCTCAAGCGTGGGGACGTTGGCTTCCCATTTGCATGCCTTTTGCACTGTCTGGTGGATAGCATGCTTGCTCAGGAACTGCAGAGCTGGGTTGTACATGCTCTTCAGCCCAAGAAACAGGTATCCCTTATGCCTACATGCGGGAGAGGTGACCTAGCCCTCAGGCTGCGAGGGTTACAGGGGGACAGGGCAAGGATCCCACCCAGCTGTAGAGAAGGGGCCAGTTCATAGCCTAGAGTAGAAGACTTGGGGGCCAGCAGGGCGGCAGGCAGGAGGGAGCCCGGCTGTTAGCCAGGGCTGGAGCATTCATCTGAAAGCAGGAGACAAAGATCCTTATTTCTGCTTCCTGGATTTTTTTTCATTTTCTGCTTCTGCAAGTTTCTGCTTAATACAAAATGCAGATTTCAAGCGGCCTGGAAGTGCTTGATGTGGGTCATGTACTCCAAGGTTCCTAGGCTCGGGGAGCGGCTTTGCACTGCCTGTAGGCTAGCTCTGTGGGGCTTCCCCCAGCGCCTTTCAGAGGTGCCCTCCTCTCCTTGTCTGTAGAGGAGGCGTAGGTGCCTGGGTTAGGCCCTCTGGCTCTCCCAGCTTTGTCTGACTGCGTGTCATGTAGGTGGGTACTCCTATAACATGACCCACCTGACCTGGTTTAAGATGTCTACCTCAGGGGAAGATGCATCAGACCCCAGGAGTGGCTGTTCCTCTCCACTGAGTGTGAGGAGAACCTGTAGATGTTGAGAAGTAGGTGAGATGACTCCCATCCTGCCAGCTGCTTTTTAAGATATTTAAGTCTGAAGTATATAGCTTTGATTTGCATTAATGGCTAGTTTAATTTCTTCTGGTTTTAGATGAACTATGGCATCATAGTTCACCATACCATCTTTCTTGTTTATGCTGGAACCCCAGCATAGTTAAGTGCTCTTGGTGAAGCTGGTGCCCCAGCAACCAGCGATGTCTGAGGAAATGCTACAACTGGAAAGAATAATAGTATTAAAGACTTCACTGTAAATAGCGTCTTATCTCAAACGCTTTGAAACTCATTCAGCAATGTTACTTCAATGGGAAGCTCATTGTATGGTGGTTTTGATCTTGTTACTTATTTTAGCTCTCGTCCTTTGAAACTTAGCTTAATTGTGCATTATGTGGAAATCAAAGTCTGAATGGTCTTTCAAGCTGGGGATTTTACAAAATGTAGGTAGAGAATAAAGCTTGCAGCCCTCTGTTGACTGACGCTGCAGGAGTGGAAAAAATAAAGACTTAATTCATATCTGGCTAGAATTACTTTACCTATGGGTTTTTTGAGTGGTGGTGTTTGTATTGGTGTGCATATTAACTGAAATTTTGCCATGTAATGTTCATGTTCAGTCTGGGATCTGGCAGTGAAATTGTTCTTTCTCACTTCTGTGTCCTCACTGTTAATGAAGAGCTTGTGACAGAATTTAGTCTCACGTGAGTGATGTAGAAACCCAAGCGGACCGTGGCTCTTGTTTGAAAAGGCAGGTAAACTTCAGCGCTTAAAAAACAGAAAGTGTTTAAAAATTGTTTGGTTTTAAAGATGGGTGCTATAACTCGGAGACCAAACAGTATGAAAGTACGAAAATAATGCTCTTACTGATGCTCTTTTGCCTGTGATTCTATATGACCCTGTGGCAATAGGTCCCAGCTGCCTTGTATCTAATCTGCATAGGTTTTGTGCCCCAGAATTTGAGGCCAAGTGTTCAAGAAGGAATCACTTTAACCTTGTCCTTCGCTGAAGGAAAGGGTATCCAGCTGAAACGGGTATGCATTTTTACTGCTTTAGGAGTGGTTTGTGGAGACCTGCCTAGCTTTGCTTTCTTCCCAGGCTGCGGTCAGATTTTTTGGGTGTTGACATAAGTGCTTCATCAGGAAACTCATCACCAACAAAATAAACCTGCTGCGAGAAACAAAGCTTCAGGCTCAGAAAGCTCATGAGACCCCTTCTGTTCCTAACCATAGACTATCACTACCGTTTGTCATGGGATGCTTACTGCGTTGCCAAGAACAAGGCAAAAGTCTTGGCTTGGGCAATGCAGTATGAAAGGAAAGGATAGCTTCTTGTCTCAAATTCATTGACTTGGTCTGCAAGTTTGGATTATTGCTTAAAGGCAGGCTACTTCAATACCAAGTTTTATATTTTGGGACAATCTAATTTAAATTAAAATGTTTGTTTCTGTAGATGGAGTTAGCAGTAGCACCACTGTGTCGGCGAGTCTCTGACCTAGGAAAATCTTACAGGCAGCTGAGGTCATTCAGGTGAGTTGCAGTTGCGGGAACTAGCAATTGGCAGTATGACGAAACTGTATTTCAAAACTGATTTATTACCTCGTGTCAGTTCTGATTGAACTGAGAGCTTTTTTGGCAACACCCACCTGCAAATTAGAAATAGATTAAAGTTCTTTTAAATTTTATGCAGAGTATAACTATGATTTAACAATCTTTGTCATGCAAATGTTGGCCAAATTGTACTTTTTTGTGTTGCTTTCAGTGCAACTTCTGTATGACAGTGAGTTCTATAGTTACCTTAAGTGTTTCCACTGAAATATAAAATTTACAGTCCTGTGTTGTTTAATTACAATAGGTAACTTCTGTAAATTTTTACAAATTGAACCTGCGTTGAAAACCTAAGATGCAGACTAGTGGAAAAAAATGAGATGATTCAATCCTAACACAATATTGCCACCATATAGGCATTTTCCTAATGCATAAGATAAGCTTTTTCTTCCTTTCACAAGTATATTGTTACATTTTTCCAGACCGCTGCTGTTCCAGACCAGCGAGCACATTGCCAGTAGCCCAGCTCTGGGAGAGGTTATTCCATACAGCATTATTCTTCAGTTCTTATTTACAAGAGCACCACCAGAGTTAAAATCACCCTTCCAGGTAATAAGATCAACCTGTCTTTCCTTTCGAGATGTCCTAAGGAGGAATGAACATTGTAGTTTGCCCTTGTTATTTTAGTTAAAAAGTGTTCAAGCTCATACTTTATATGATTTGTTGGCTTTTGCTTTTATTGTGGCAAAGGTGTTATGGTCATTGACTTCATATTTTGATTAATTAACAGTAGGAACATGATAACCTGATTTTAAATAGACTCTCAATTCTTTAATATTCTGTCAGCTTGTAGAAGAAATTGCAGGTGTTACCCCAGACTGCAAATTGCCTGGATCTTGCTCATGTAAGAGGCAGGAAATCTAGGTCCAAACCCCTGTCAGAATTGGGTAAACAGCTGATGTAGGAGATCACCTCTGAGCTCCCAAATAACATATTGGGCTATTTCTGTTAATTGCCTCTGATTCCTTAACTCATTCTGCATCACTGCAGTATTAAGAGAGCCTCATGTGGCCTTCATTTATGTCATCTTTGATTCTGAAATTGGTGTGTGTGTTTCCTTTTTCACATTTATGTGTAACTGGTGTTTGTTTGTGTTTCTCTGTATCAGAGGGCTGAGTGGTCCATTGCCCGCTACTCCCAGTGGCTTGATGATCATCCATCTGAAAAAGACAGGCTTGCTCTCATACGGTAAAAATCATGCTTCTTTCTTCTCTACATTTGTGATAATGGAGCAGTAACTTATTGGCACACCAGGACTGGTCTTAAAAAGTAACAAAATGTGCTATATGTATCATAAATGCCATTACCCCTTCTCCGCTCATGGGATGATTTGCAAAATGGGAGAATATATAAACTGAACACTCCTCTCTGCCCCCTGTACCCAAACCCTCCAGTGCCTTTGGAAGGAGCACGTAATCCTCTTGCAAAAGAAGGAAACCATGCACAATGATGGTTTAAATTAATACTGCGTTTTAGCAAAACTGCCTCTCTCAACTGTTGGAAAGTCAAGGCTGCAGCTGTCCTGTCTTCTGTATCAGGAAAGAGAAGCTTTGGAAGCTTAAGCAATGAAAACGTAGGTAGGAATTTAAAAATGGAAGACCCTTGTTACACCCCTGTAATGATATTCTTCAGTAAATCAGCCTGGGATCTTTAGGAAGTGATAATTACATCAGATTTTTAAAATCTTCCTAGGGTAGATGACTTTATAGCTAAATACTACTTTACGACTTAAAATGTTAGGAAAAGTTATGAAGAGTCTTGTTTTTCAGAACAAGCAGATTTTTAAAGTATGTTAGAGAGAACAGATGTGTTGTATGAACATGACAGAGCCAGCCTGAGGATCCTCAGGATTCAAGGCTGAGATGATCATTTGGCTCCTAACACCCTAACTCTTCCAGCCATCTTCTCAGTGTCCTGTCCTGACCTCGGCGTCACCCACTCCAGTGGCACGGGAAAGGTGGTCACACGTGGCTGCACCAAGCTCCATCTGGCCTGGGAGCCAACTCTGTCCTTTAACTTCTGCGCGTGGATGTTGCCAGCTTTTGCTGAAATCATAAAAGCTGACTTTTAAGTTCCAGCCAGAAGTGGTTGTGCTTGAGAAAATCAACCATTATCTGTCCACACTTTTAAAGCAGCCAAGAGTCTGCTATAAATATGTACTTTTCTCGAAGCTGATAGCACCATACAGTCCGGTGTAGTGCTTGGGCCAATTAAGGAAATACTAGTTGATCACCAGTAGATGTTAGTAGGATTTATTTCCAAAATATTAAAACTGTGTCTCTTCATATGTTTATTAAAAGAGTATTTTTTGAAAATCATACATGTCATTAGTCTAGTTTGGCTACAAAACTAGGTTTTCTTGAGTCTGAAGCCATGACACCTTGAATTACAGGGGAATGGATAATAGGTGCAGGGCTGATACAGGTGTATATGTAATTTAGTTATGAATATTTTGATTGTAATTTCTGTCCTGATAGTACTGGCAAAACTGACAATGTTGAATTTCAGATATGTTAGGGAAAGCCAAGAATGCAAATCATTTGAGAACTGATGGGATTTTGTTCTCTTCAGTCCCTTTACACAAATTTGAAAATGCCATCCTTAAACTACAACACATTTTTGTCTTTGCTTGCAATTAAATTTCATCCAGACTGATTCAGTTAATGGGCTTGCTGATGGTCATGTTCAGACACTGAGAAATTGCTCTGACCATGGAGGTATTAAGGGACAAGCCCTGGGACAAGGCTTTTAGGCAGAGAGAGTGTCATCCATTAGACCAAGTAGCGTAGCTAGAATACTTAAGCTTTACATTTCAGTCCTTTCATTGAATCCTGTATTCATTTTGCATGAGATACCACTATTAAAATATTTTAACTTTGTAATCTCAAGAATGTGCTGCTGCAAAGTTATCACTTGAGCATTTTACAGTGAGACTGTGGTCCTTTTGCTTTGCATTGTGGAGTGCTCGGACATTGCTTGGACCTCTGTCCTCCCAGGGCATGGAGAGGGAAGCTTTGAAGATCTGCCCTTCCCAAAGGCCTCTGCTGGCACTCCAGTGGCTCTTCCCTACTCTTGGTACGCCAGAGCAAGGCTGTTTGTCACTGCCCACGCTTGGCTGCTTCTCCATCCATCCCTAGGCCCACTGCTTGCAGGCAGCACTCATGCAGCTTTGCTGAGCCACGTGAATTACCTACACGGGATTTGTCAAGCGGACTCTTCCCTTGGGTCGTTTGTTTGGCAGCTCGCCTAGCATCGTATGTCTGGGAGCAACGAGAGGGGGCTAGCTGACCAGTGCTTGAATGCAGTGAGTGAAGGGGATGGGTCTCCTTTGCAGACACGGGTAACCTCCATAGGCGTTGCCGTGTGCATTCACCTTTTTACCATCTCCTCTCATGCCTGTTAGTCATTTCTAAATAGGCCGGTTATCCGTACACAAGGCAGGCAAGCAAACATCAGTCACTAGTATGACCATGTTTCACTCATATTTTCTTTAATACTCTATCGGAACATTTCTGAGCCTGCTCTTCATGTGTCTTATATGAACTTAAGTTGAACTACAGGCGTCTTGCTCATTTGTCTGGAGTCTTATCAGTCACCCTCTTCAAGCTTTTTCCGCCTGTAGTTGTTCAGCTGCACCAGTTGAACCTTGGATGTCTTGAGCCTTCAGATCCCTGCACTGACCTACATCAAGAAATTATCTTTACATTTGCTGCAACCTTGCGAATGGTAATTTTCTGCAACTTCCCTTTGTAACAACTGTGCAATTACTCTAGGGACCTACTGCTTAGGTATTAATTTACTTGTGTTATCAGAATCCTTACAGCTTCATATTAACGCTAATTGCAGTGCTTCTTCCGCTCTGTAGATCTTAAATGCTTCATATGCAATGTGGTGTTAATGTTATGAATTAGTAGCGTTCCTAGCATTTTTGTGCATTTCTTTCTGCTTGTATTCAGCATGAAGGGTGGGATTTACCTGGCCAGAGTATATTAGCTAGACTCCCTTTATAGTCAACAGAGAGAAACAGGCACCGCTGGGGCTGATTCATCTCATCCTGAAGTAGGTACCTAAAATAGGTCAGTTGCGTTGTGTCCTGAAAGCTCCATTTTCTCTGCTCGGCGAAGGGAGCGTGGGCTGGGACACGAGAGCACTCTCAGGCAGACAGCTGCCCTGCAGGCATTTAAAGTTAGGTGAGATGACCCTGCTGCAGGTGTCCTCCTGGGGCAGGGATTGTGTTGAAAGGAGCGCTTCTTTAAGCAGCCAGGGCATTTTTTTCTTTGTCTTTTTAAATTTAGTTTGCAAACTCAACTTTTCTTCCATAAAAGAAACCTTTCTGTTAGACGTGGCAGGATTTGAGCCAGCCTGAAGGACAGTTCATCCACTCAAGGGCCAAATTCTTATCTTCACCATTCGAGTGTGGGTAAGCTCCCCTTATTCAAGCTCACTGGTGCTGGAGCAGAGTTGAAAGTCAGGCCCAGTGGAGGGTTCATTTTCATAATGAGCTGATGTCCTGAGCCAGAGAGCGGCTCCGACCACTAGCCTGCCAGGGGGCAGGGACAAATGCCAGCTTGGGGACCACTGCGAAAGCCCCATCTGTGCATTAGGTTCGGTCTCGCTAGGTGCAGCAGTGTGACAGCTTTGCCGCAAGCAACAGAGCCGTGCTGGGTCACTGCTCCGCTCGGCTTAAGCCGAGCAAGCGGCAGCCAGGCAGCGTGGCTGGAGGGCTGCCCCGTGCTGCCTGCGACGCCTGCGCCTCCGAGCGCTCCCCGGCCAGCAGCAGGCCATTCATAAAAACCCTCCCTGTCACTTCGGCTTGTCTGTCAGTGCACGGTCCCTTTGATCTCTTTATTATGCAATCTAGAATAAACCAGAGATGTCTCTCGTTAATCTGTTGTCCTACAGATGATGCTGTTGGAAATTTTACTATTCAGTTTTACAGTTAACTTTTATAGCACTCCATTAAATAGATCTGGTGTCAGACAGATGTTCTCTTACACAGCATGTTTTCCATTTTCCTCTTTGCCCTGAAGTCTGCAGAGCAAACGGACTTTTAACAAAGTACTGAAGAAAAGTCTTGGCCCCGCTGTCCTCCAGCTGCCCTGCTAATTGATGGGGACCCGAGTGCACAGGGCGCTACGCCACGGCTGAACAGAAAGATGATCCCTGCCTCTTCTGAAGCTTACCATTTAAATCAGGCTCCATTTGACTGAGTCAGAGCCCAGGAGGGTAGCACTAGTATTCACAATTCCATATAAAATTAACTAATTAATTAGAGTAATTCAAAATGATACATATTAAGATCCCTTTAAGAACCACAGCCCAAATCATATACTTTTTTTTCTTTTAACTGTAGATATAAATCTTCATGGGTTGAAATAACATTTTAAAAAAGAACTATCTGGGTCTTATATAATCAGCTTGTCCTGATTTCCAAGAAAGCTCATGTTTTTGCTTAAGCAAGTGAAGTAATTTAATAAGTGCTTTAAAATCCTTTTCCTTATGTGGGAGGGCATCTTAAACTTAGATTTTTTTTTTTTCCCCCCTTACTTCTTATGGCATTTCTAATGAAGCATTAATATATGCAGAACATCCCACCAACCCTCTTTCCATAGCTCTCTTTTACAAACAATATTTGTAATGTATACCATAGCTTGTCTTTTAAAATAGAAACAGATTGCTGAACAGGTTTTATGTCCTTTATTAGACTGGAAGATGCTGAATTTAGGGCATTATTTAGTCTAATCCCTTCAAGAGTGTGTTTTGTATATTACATAAACAGGGCTTCTTCCATCTTCTTAAACATCGGTAATATAACTATAAATTACATCTTTTTATATGACAACAGCTGTGATCTCTTCTGTGGTGGAGACTTGATGATACTGCTTTCACCCATGATGTTGTTTATTTTTCCGTTACTGCTTATGCACTAGTGTTTTTACAGTGTCCTCTACAGGAGCAAGCCTACCTTTTTTTAATACAAGATTTTAATGGTAACCGGCGCATCTGAATTGAATTCTGTACTGCCAGCGTAGTTTACAAAAGCTCGTTTGAGCTAGGACTGGTAAAGTTTACAAAAATGTCATCGTAAAATCTGCAATTCAAGTGTTAACATTGCTACTAAATTCATTTCTCTCCCCAAATGAGGTACAGTCATGTAGGCATCTCAGCAGCTTCAGTGAAGTGCATTG